CAGCTGTGGGGAGCTAGGGACCTTCAGTCTCAGCAACTGCTTCATGGGGGCGAGACCTACCGGAGATGCGTTGCTGTGCTCATTAGGCTTGAGACTCCTTTGCATATCGTGCTTTTGCTAATCAAGAGTTAACTCCAACTTGGACAGTGTGATTTACTGCTGGCCCTCTCCTGTAAACCAGATCGGCAGTTGGGTTCCTATTGAGGGTATTTGGCGAGCCAACAACAGTGATGCGGGATTGAGGATTGGAGTGATCATTCTGTGGTATTATGGCAGTGGAGAAAGCTGTGTTGTAACTTATGAATAAATGTGGTTTGTTTTTGTTTGTTTTTTAAAAGAAGATGGAAAGGATAGCGAGATATCAGTAGTGGTATTTGCATCCTGCTGCGCTAGACAAACTTGCAAGCAAAGGCTGCAAGGGGAGTTTGATTAAAACATAATCTCTTTACAAGGCTGCTTTTTATTGATCTCCCTCCCCATGCCTCGGAACCCCTTTTGAAAACACAGGGAACTTTCAAAAGTACTTTTGTGATATGGCAATGGGAGAATTTGCTGATCAAAGGAAAGAATTGAAAAGTCTTTAGGCACCTCTGAAAGCTGCTCATTGGATCTCAGCCCATAGACTACTTTGATGCACTGGGTAATTTCTGTATCACTTAATTAATGAGATCCGTCTCCCTATATCTGATTTCTTTACAGTGGGAAAACTCTTAATCCTCATTCTTTAAGGAAAGCACAACTGTATAACGTACATTTCAATCTATGTTCTTTAGCGGGATCCATTGCTGATACTGATCAACATCGCCTTTGTGAACCAGAGACACTTTTTATCGAATGGATTATCACTTTAGGAAACAGAGACTACTACAAATGATTGGGGGCAGCATTAGGAAGCTGGCTGCGTTTCAGGGGCTTTTCAACTCAGTCTTATGAGGATGGTGATGTTAGAATCATAGAATTTTTGAGTTGGAAGGTACCCTGAGGATCATCTAGCCAACCCCCTGCAAGACAGGAATATACAGCTGGCCCATACAGGGATCGAACCTGCCACCTTGGCATTATCAGCACCAACTGAGCTGTGCAGATGCAACCACTGTGTAGGGGAGTGTGGCGTTTGCCCTCTTATGTGTGTGATATCATACTGGGTTCATAGGGAAAGGGTTAACTAATTGCAAAATGACTAACCAAAGGGAACCCAGGGGGCAGAGTTAACTGTGTATAAGGTTTAAGCACAGAGAGAATTTGTTAAGGGGAGTTAGAGTTAGAGTGGTTGAGAAGACAGTCTGGAGTTAGACGAGAGAGGGAAGATAAGTCTGTGGGTTGGGCTAGTCTGGTGTGAGAGAGTGAGAGAATTTGTTAAGAGGAGTCAGTCAAACAGTTGAGATAATCAGTCAGAAGGTATCAGGAAGGTATAGGCCGGTAAAGAAACTAAAGTTAAGATACTGACAGGAATGTTATCTGAGAAACCATAAACTTGTTAATGTTTGTAAAATAAACTTGTTTTTTGGTTCACTTTTAACAGCTGACTGGACTCAGTGTTTTACCAGAGAGTAACTGGTTGGTGGCAGCGGGGAAGCGATCACAGTGGTGGCACAGGGATCAATAGACCCTTAAACGTCCGGGGACCTTGTGTGATCGCCACAAAAGTGGTGGTCTTGAGGAGCCTTGAGGAACATACGCAGTAATCTTGAGGAGAGATGCAAAGGCAGAAACTCTTATATACAGTGTAAGTCAGCCCGATTTATTTCTTACATCTATTTGAAATTCATATCTTGCTCTTCCTCCCAAAGGAGCCCAGGGTGGCAAACATCAAAATGTTTAAACAATTCAGTTTACCAGTTTCCAGGGTTCTCTGTTAAAGTGTCATAGTGTGGTATGATGGTTAGGGTGTCAGGTTAGGACCTGGGAGGCCAGGGTTCAAATTCCCACTCAGCCATGAAGCTCCCTGGGTGACATCAGGCCAGCCACTGCCTCTCAGCCTAACCTACCTCACAGGGGTGTTTTGAGCATTAAATGGGGAGGGCGGACCCATGTGCTTCACCTCAAGGACCTTGGAGAAAAAGGTGGGATATAAATGCAATAGACAGATAAATACACTTTAAATGTATGGTATGGATGTGACCATAATCCAACAACATCTAGTTGCTCACAGGTTTGTTTGCTGGTAGAGGCACAGCTAAAGTAAGCTGCTGAGAAGTTGGCAGCCCAAGCTCAAGCTAGCAAGAACAACAATGTGAAATATTTAGCATTTATTTAGTGTTTCTGAGTGTTCAAAAGCACTTCACACGCAACTAATGCATTATTATCCCCATATTGCAGTCCTCTACTCACAGCATTAAAGTGCCAAGCAAATCACACATTAACGCATCCATCTTCCACTTTGAAAACAACAGGCCTAATTATTCCTAAGGCTACAGCTTCATCATATTTGGTGCTCAATATCAAAGAATTTGATACTTGAGTTTCAAAAGCTCCTCTGTTAGGCTTCGGTGGTCTCGAGCAGGGAACTTTCTCTGTGGGTGTTACAGTGGTACCTCTGGTTAAGAACTTAATTCGTTCCGGAGGTCCGTTCTTAACCTGAAACTGTTCTTAACCTGAAGCACCACTTTAGCTAATGGGGTCTCCCACTGCCCCCGACAATCTCTGTTCTCATCCTGAAGCAAAGTTCTTAACCTGAGGTACTATTTCTGGGTTAGCAGAGTCTGTAACCTGAAGCGTATGTAACACAAGGTACCACTGTACTTCCTTTTAACTTTTACTGAGCTCTTGCCTCCCTCTGCCCTTGCCACATTCATTGGCTCTACAAGACCACCTATAAAGTATGGCACTCTTATTAAGGCCTTTTAAAACTGCTACCCCAATCTCTCCCTCTCTCTCTCTCTCTCTCTCTCTCACACACACACACACACACACACGCACACATGCTTAAATTTCTTCCACCATTCTGCCTGAAAGTTGCCATCCAGTAGAACTTTCTGGTGAATGGGCTTTTGTAATCTGGCGAAGTAAGCATTGATCTGACACCCTCAGCAACATTGCAAGGCACTTTACGGACAAAATAGATTTGGACACTGTCGCTTGAGGTCTAGGACATGAGACCCTTTGACCGCTGGTGTTTGAATCCAAGCAAACATGATGCTGTTAAAGTTTTAAGTTTAATGTACATAAAATGCTGTGTTTGAATGCCTTGTATTTGGAATGCTGCAAAAAGAAGCTTACCTTAAGCGATAGGTTCCATTGCGGGTGAAAGCGGAGGGCTGATGTTTTTCAATTTTAGTGAGTTAAGCTACCTGATGACTCATTGCTGGAAATCAGAGCTGAGCTCTCACAGCAGGAGATGAAACTTGAGAAGTCAGAGACAAGTAGTAGTAGCAGCAGCAGCAGCAGCAGCAGCAGCAGCAGCAGCGAGGTTCTGCAATGATAAACAAGCTTAGGATCTCTCTCTGGGATCAGAGAGAGGAAAGTTTACTGAACTGCATAAAAGACTGAACACTGCTTGAGTGCAATGTGTTATAGTAAGTTACAGGAACAAAACAAAAAGTAACTAGATTTTAGATGGTTCTGCAGTAAAGTTTTGTAACTCATTATTGGGGTGGAAAGTTCATACACAAGGTCCAGAACAGGGATTCTGTTGAACAAGTCTTACAGATGTTAGCTACAATCCATAGGTATCCTGTAGTTTCTCAATAAGCACTCCTCTTTGATGCGTTTCTCCTCAAACCAGCTGCCATCCAATTTGAGAAATGCAGGCCATGGTTAAGCTGAGGTGTGTACAGTTTGACTAGCCATTGCACGTGTGCGGATGAAAACTTCCTTGAACAGGAGTTAGGGTGGGGAGTGCAGGTGCGGGGAACCAAATCAGGTAATGCACATTGGGTGAAGATGACCCTGCTTTCTCTCTAGTGTGTACAGCAAGTACAAATGAAAGTACAAATGCAATGTAAAACATGGTGAGGGGGATACTACCTCTATGTTTGAAACTGCTCATGTGTACATACCCTTCATTTCAGTTCTAGTTTAGGGAAGCAAAACTAGACTCCCTGATTTCAAGGAACAGACAAGAGAAAGCTAGCAGGATACGCATGCTGGAAGAGCCAGGGTCTCCTCATTCAACTCACTTCCAAGTGTGTGCATGAATATTTCATACACACTCCAATTTCTAGTAACGATTATGCTCTAGGAAAACCACAAACACCATGAGCTGAAAGCCATTATAACAGTTTGGCCCTGATCCCATTTGCTTTTCTGATACAATTACACACTGGCCACTATTCAAAGGACTACTCTAGGTGCACACACCACAGTCTCTGGCATGCCCTGCAGAATATTGACATTCTTTCCTTAAGCAGCAGACACACACACCTCAGTAATGCCAAATTGCAAACTGCTTATGACGCTCCCTGGGGCATGTAGAAGTAGTTGCATGGTCCCCCCCCCACCTTAATCTAAACCATCATCTCTATCCTAACCGGTCTACCCACTTACTACAGGAAGGCACACAACATGGAGATTCTTTTTTAGAAGCTTCCACGAACTGCGACGCCAAGCTCTTGTTCCTGCAGTGTGTTTTCACCCTTGGATGCCTTTCTATAAGTGCTCCAGATATTGTTTCAGAGCTGCTTTAACTCTACATCAAAGTCGCAGCCCAGACAGAGCAGATGAAAGCTGGGCGCTTGGGTAGAAAGTGGAGGTGTTTGTGGAGCGGAGCAGTCGTGCCGATTTTTGCCTTTGCTCCATGAGAAACAAACCACATGAAGGAGACCCACACACATCTCCAGCAGAGGCAAATCTTTTGAGTGAACCTGCCCAGATGGCAGATAACACAAAGGGGGGAAAGCCACCTGTTCTCCCGAGGCAGCTCACAGCTCTCACCTCTTCAGCTTGTCCAGGATTTCTTGGCAGAAACAGATGGGAAACCAACAGAGAAGAGGCAGAGAGTTAGCATGTGTGGACCCATTTGTTCTAAAGCTGTTCAGGGAAGAAAAGGCACATTAGGGAAGAGAAGGGCCCTAGCTTAGTGGCAGAGTATCTGCTTCGCTCCCTGGAGACCTCAGGTTCAATCCCTGGCTATTCTAGGTAAGGCCTGGGAAGACTCCAGTCTGAAACCACAGGGAGTTGCAGCCAATACTGAGCTAGCTGAGATTGAATCCCGACAAGACAGAAGTCCTGTTTTTGGGGGACAGGAGGCGGGCAGATGTGGAGGATTCCCTGGTCCTGAATGGGGTAACTGTGCCCCTGAAGGACCAGGTGCGTAGCCTGGGAGTCATTTTGGACTCACAGCTGTCCATGGAGGCACAGGTTAAATCCGTGTCCAGGGCAGCTGTTTACCAGCTCCATCTGGTATGCAGGCTGAGACCCTATCTGCCTGCGGACTGCCTCGCCAGATTGGTGCATGCTCTGGTTATCTCCCACTTGGACTACTGCAATGCGCTCTACATGGGGCTACCTTTGAAGGTGACCCGGAAACTACAAGTAACCCAGAATGCGGTAGCCAGACTGGTGACTGGGAGCGGCCGCCGAGACCATATAAAACTGGTCTTGAAAGACCTACACTGGCTCCCAGTATGTTTCTGAGCACAATTCAAAGTGTTGGTGCCGACCTTTAAAGCTCTAAACGGCCTTGGTCCAGTATATCTGAAGGAGCGTCTCCATCCCCATCGTTCTACCCGGACACTGAGGTCCAGCATCGAGGGCCTTCTGGCGGTTCCCTCACTGCAAGAGGCCAAGTTACAGGGAACCAGGCAGAGGGCCTTCTCAGTAGTGGCGCCCTCCCTGTGGAACGCCCTCCCATCAGATGTCAAGGAGAACAACAACTACCAGACTTTTAGAAGATATCTGAAGGCAGCCCTGTTTAGGGAAGCTTTTAATGTTTGATGTAGTACTGTATTTTAATATTTTTTGGAAGCCGCCCAGAGTGGCTGGGGAAGCCCAGCCAGATGGGCGGGATATAAATAATAAATTATTATTATTATTATTATTATTATTATTATTATTATTGGTCTGACTTGTTAGGACACAGTTTCCTATGTTCCTAAAACAGATTTCGTAGGTATCAGCCTCCATTTCAAAGTGTGCTTTTCTTCTTCCAGCTTTAACCAGCAGCTCAAAAAATATTAGGACATATCACAAAATGGGCGGCTAACACAGCAGTAGGTCTCAGCACACCACGCTTGGAAGCAGTGAGGTTTCAGTTAAGTGGCGGGCCTCTTTTTGCTACAGAGGTGTTAGCAAAGTCACTTTAAGTAATGCAAACATAGTCCAGAGAGGAAAATCCAGATTGCTATTGTTCTTTTTTGATTAAATTTCTATACCACCCTTCATCTGAGGATCACAGGGTGGTTTACAATATAAATACATCACTAAGTAAATTTCTCCTAATAGACTCATGTTTGTATGCAATTTTGACAAATATACATATATATATATTTTGCAAAGCATTTCCCTCAAAAATAATGCATTTCTGCATACTATTTTTTTTTTTTTTACTAATATGTGCATTTTATGGACATTTTAGCCATTTTCATACATGTTACACGTCTGGAGAATGGCACTGCAAAATTCAGAGAACTGAGAAATCTGAGGGATGGCTGTGTTTCAGTTCATGCATCATTTAGGAAAGTGGAAATCAGGTAGGTTTGCCTTTAAATGCAAACTGATTCGAATTTCTCCCCCATCGCTAACCCCAAGGCAGAGGCTCCTCTGCTATTGTGCTCTGCTGTGATCACTTTCCACATCTTGTCTGCAAACAGATTGTTCTCTCTCACCTGCTTTCCTCACTCCAGAGATTCTACACTAGGCATCAAGATGACCATGAAGGTTGTGGGTGGCAATATGTCTGTCTAGCTGAGCCTATATAAACCCTATCTACAATCTGTGGGTCATCTGAGGTACCCATATCTTTTAAGGGAGGGGATTAGGATTTAGGTCTAACCAATTTAGTTTATTTTTAGCTTCAAATTCTGGCTTTCCATCTGGTTCAGATATTTTGAAACAGTTCTCCACTTTGCCTAGAGGTCTCTTCCTAGCATGGCTGTTTCCACATGCTGTCCATATGGCTCCATCAGACAACTATATGTATGGCTATATCCATTTTCTACTCCTATTGACGAACAGAACAATCCTAGCCATGTCTACCCAGAATTCAATGGGGCTTACTCCCAGGTAGGGATGGATAAATATGCCAATTTCAATTTCTCTCAGTTTCTCCTTCTACCAGTCTTAAGTTCAGTTCTACACATTTCCAAATCAGCTTGCAGTTTTTAAAAAGTCCTCATTGCAATTTTGCCTAATATACATGTTGGGAAATATACACTCTGAGAATTGTAGAGATTTCCTTAAATTAATCCAAGCTTGCTTTGTGGGGAAATTCTGTCCAACATGGTATTCCAATCCTCCTCAGAGATAGAAATTTTTGAGTCCAATTCTCAGAGTTTTGGCAGTCCTTCTCCTGTTCTCACTTCAGTTATTAATAACACATTATATAACATAAACTTAGCCTTTAATAAGGCTGTTTCATTAGTGCAACAGTTGCTCAGGTGGGGTAAGGGGAGGCGTAGTATATTTTATTATTCTAACCTGCCTTGGGACCTTGTGGTAAAGGGTGTGTAAGAAATCTAATAAATTAAAATAAAATAAGCTGTCTTCTTGAGTACATATTCACTAACGAATGAATACATGGCCAGTCCTCCCATTAGGCAAGGTGAGGCAGCTGCCCCAGAATACTGATGTCAGGGGATAGAGAACAGGAGCCAGATGGTGTAGGACAGAGCTGTTTGTGCCACAGGTCCTACCCACTAAGCCCACCTGCTGCCTTTACATGTGGTGGAACACATCATCTCATCACCTGTACTGAAGTAAAACATTTTGCCAGCCTGCTCAGTTTTTGTACATGAAATGGGAGGGATTCCTGACTTGTCCTTTGCCACAGGCAGCAAAATGTCTTGGGCTGGCCCTGAGTGCACCTTCCCAGCACGCCATTTTGGACAGTGCAGTGACACGCAGAGAACATCTTCTCCGTGCAAGAGAAAGCAGAATTTTGCATGGGCCACTCCAGATAGTCAAAACACTGAATTTTATTTTTTATTTTACACACAGAGTGCTTCTGCAGCTGTGCCCAAGTCAAAGTACCACATTTTTCCATGTATAAGACTCCCCCATGTATAAGACGACCCCTATTTTTTTGAACCCAAAATTAAGGAAATGAAACCCTAAAATAGAAGTGAAAATCTGAATGATGGCGGCGGCAAGTTGTTGATCTTTTTTGGGGCGATCGCCCTCAAAGTTTCCAGCATGAGGTGCATGCAAGTGCACTGTGGTGCAGAAGCAAAGGCAGCAGAAGCAGTTTGCAGCAGAAGTTTGCAGAAGCAAAGGCAGCGACTGGGGCACCACACGCTCCCCCTCAGTGGCTGCTGCTGCTGCTGCTGCGGAGAAGCAGGCTCCCAAGCAGGATGCCAAGGAAGAGCCGGGGGAAGGCAGCGGCCGCTCTGCGTTGGGCCATGCCGTCAAGCAAATTGAGCTGGGGGCAGGGTGGGAGCTTGAGAGGGGAAGAGGGGGAAAAGGAAAGAAGGGCAAGGAGAGGTAGCTGACGCAGCTCACAGCGGTGGCAGGTGCTCTCGATCCAGTGGTCAAACCAGTCAAACCAGTGGGGGCTTCAGGAGGCAAGCCAGTCACCAGCATGCAGCCCGGGGGGGGGGAGAGAAAGGGGGGACGGCAGCAGGAGGGACCGCCTCAGCCCGCCCAAGCCAAAATCTCGGACATATGCTTAAATATTTTAAAAATTCCCCCAGATGTCCATGTACAAGACGACCCGCATTTTTTTACTATTTTTTGAAGAAGAAGAAGAAGAAGAAGAAGAAGAAGAAGAGGAGGAGGAGGAGGAGTTTGGATTTGATATCCCGCTTCATCACTACTCTAAGGAGTCTCAAAGCGGCCAACAATCTCCTTTCCCTTCCTCCCCCACAACAAACACTCTGTGAGGTGAGTGGGGCTGAGAGACTTCAGATAAGTGTGACTAGCCCAAGGTCACCCAGCAGCTGCATGTGGAGGAGCGGAGATGCGAACCCGGTTCACCAGATTACGAGTCTACCGCTCTTAACCACTACACCACACTGGCTCTCAATACACAGAAAAATACGGTAATTAGCAAACAGCATCATTTATAATCTCAGCCATGTAGAATGTGATGTTAGCCTCAGCTTCAGAAACAATCCTGACATCATAATTAAAAACACTGACAAAGGGGGGGGGAGCTGTCATCTTCATGATCAAGTCAGGCTACATATGGGAAACCGAGAGTCAACTTTCTGATCCCACATTTTACAGGCGCCTATCCTCAGAGTCCTCTGAGGAATAGCGAATGGAACTATGTAACATGAGGAATTCCCTACAGATCTGCCAGGACCAAATCTGCATAGACACAACACACCAAACCATATAAGACCTAAAGGAGTTGGGGATGAGGTTGCTCTGTGTGCTTCCCAAAATGTAACACTGAAAAATATAAATATTTTTGAAAAAGAAATAAATGAATGACTGAATATGGCACAACCAACTACCCAATAAGAACAGGGCTTAAGTATATTAGTTTTAAAAATCAATCTTAGAAAATTGTTTTTCAAAATTAAAACATTCTTTACTATGGCCTAAGCAAGCTGGCATTCAAATCATTAATTGAAATCAGATTAACAACAACTTTAGGTTAATAGGTCAGTAATCCAGGCGTGCTAAAATATGGGTTACTAGTTAAATCATTCAGAGGCTCAGAAACACAGATAAACCAAACAAGGATTAAACTGCTCAGGCTGTATTAGTCTTTTTAGGAAATCCCAAATTGAGTTTTTACATACGAGGACTTCAAATGTGCACTGGGCAGTCATCGGTTGCAGATGGAATATGCACCTTTTTTAAAAAAGGGTTAGCTTACTTTGTTCGCCATAAACTCCACAGTTACTGATATTGCTGAACAGGTGGATGATTCGAGTAGATTTTTCTGGATAAATTTCATGGCTGTTGTTTTTAATGTTAGAAGATTTCTTTTGGGCTGTATTATTGCACAAACCAACCTGATCCAAACATT